CCTGTACAACTGAAAATCTGCGTTATTGTCCAGGGCATCTCGCAGATAGAAATAAACAGGCTGATGTCATTTTCTGCCAAACAGGAAGTTTGACGATCATGCCATATGTTTGGTTTGATAATTAAGTTAAATATTCTTTATTTTGATGAAATACAGTCAATATTCAAACGTTTGTAGATATTGGGGCACAGAATTCTTCTACAACGTAATCATCGGCCAGTAAACTAGTTAACATGGGCGCCGTCGACACGGAATCCAAGGAGGGGCAAATTTAAAATACCAAAACACGTAATCTCCTACTAAGTCTAAGGTTCGTGGGTCAGGGTCAATCAAACGCGACATAAAAACAGGAAACATCGGTCTGTTAGTAAAAAATGGTTTACTTTGCATCACTGACAAGAATGATCATATTGGACAGTTCTTATAAGGGAACCTTCTATTGCAAGTTTCTACAAACATTCTGTTCCGTTATTTCAATTACTTCGTTTATTGTCATAAAGTGACATCTATGTATATTGACGTATTAGTATAGCAAATTTCAATAAAATCGTAGGTACAAGGCGTTTGGCATTTATTTGATAAAAAAAAACACCTTTATCAACTTTGATATGCCATCTAGCGGTTAAACGAAGCAACTTAGCACAGAGACAAGTTTTTTGACTGTAGAAGAACGGAAACAAGAATTTGTTAGGAAAAGGGGGCGGCGTATTATTATTGTTATTATCACTAAATCGTCCGATTTCGGCGTGCCACGCGGTACGGATCTCCCCACCCCCCAACGCTACCTGACTCTCGAGGATGTCCTGCTGGTCCTCCTCGTAGCAGCTGTACCGTATCTGGCTCTTCCACAGCATCACGTCGGCCGTCACCACCTCCAGGCTCAGCCTCTCGAACAGCTCGGGCGTCACCTCGAACTCCTCCACTACGTCGCACAGCACCGTGCTAAGCCGGCACACCCTCCCGAACTTAACCTCGAGATTTCCGGGCGCGGCGCAAGAGCACTCCCACAGGTTGGCGTAGACGGGGTCGGCAACGTCCATGTCCACCTCGGCGTCGAGGAAATCCGGCGCGACGCGTCCGTAGGGCTCGTAGTACTCGAACTCGTGCCGCAAGGCCCTCAACCAACTGACTACGCTGCCGTCGCCCATTTCTGCGGCCCGTTGACTCACCCGCCGAGATATACGAGTGGATTTCGCCACATCCTAGTGATAACCGAGGCGATTTTTCCCTGTTTTAGCGGAACGGCGGAGATAACGCGACTGCCAGGCCACGTCGTTTTCTTCGTACGACGTGCGTTTGTGCGTTTCGATTTCGAATGCTCATTGATAAGCCTGGAAGGGTCCCTGTCGTCCGTTCGCTGGATGAGAGTCAATTGGGGCGTAGCCGCATCCGATTTAATTGGTTTAATGAGTCAATTCGACGAGAGAATACCACATGTGTGTACTCGGCGTGGTGAGGAGACGTCGGGATGGTCGCGAAACGCGGGGGCGGCTTTCTAGAGCACGAGGAGGACGTGGAGAAGCGGTGCCACTCTGTATGTGTTGTTTTCGGACGTCGAAACGTGCCGCGCGAATCATGGGGGCACAGAGGCGGAGCGTTGGGTGTTTGCTTAAGTTGTAGCACGTTGAAATTAGATTTGAGATGCGAAGTGGTTGATAACACAGCAACACAAAAAAAAGTTCTGTACCAGAGACACGAGTACTTAGATCTTGAGTATTTTTTTATGCTGAATCCGTATCCGCAGCCCAGAAACCGATCTATTAGGTCATTTTTTAGTAAAACGCTAAAATAACCCCAAAAATCGATAAAGCAATCGATTTTAAACAAAAAGTATTATTTGAACATTTTTCGATAAGTCAGTATTTTCTGAGTTATTGGTGATTGAAAATGTACATTTTTTATTAAAAAAGACGTTTTTCAGTAGTTTTTCTCGAATAACTCGGAAAATAGACATTTTATGAAAAAAAAAAAAGATCATGAAGAAAATGAGGCTTATAGAAAAAGAAAAAGTGACATTTTTTCATTTATATGGATGATAATTTCATGCCCACCAGACACTAAATTGGAAGTATTTAACGTAAAATAACTAAAAAAATTCTATTTTTGAAGAAAAATGCACAGAACATTTTTTAAAGTACTTTAAAAAATCTTTAAAATTAACTTGACTTTAAATCATTAGCATAAAAATTAACAGATATATGATCAAAATAAAACTGTTAATTCGCTTTTTCGGAAAAAAAAATCATTACAAAAAATGAATGAATTATTCACGAGATTTAAAATTAAAAATTCTAAAAAATTCTTCTACGATTTACATTTTTTATGTGCTAATAATATATTATACAAATGCATATTTTTTTAAATATTACGTTTTGATCGAAAACAATTTTTTTTAATTCCAAAAAAAATACATTTTTGAAAATAACTTTAAAAATAAAAAAGATACGAAAAATATCCAAGAGTACAAAGGTTTAGATTTTTTTTCACAAAACATTTTGTTTTTTTTTATTTGTGTAGGATAAAAATTAACAGAGATGTCGCTGCTAGAAGTTTGCAGTTGAGGGCGAAGGTCATGTTTTTCAAACCCTTTAACCTCAAAAATCTCAAAAATAACGGGTTAAAAAATATTCAATTTTACAGTACCTACTTTTAGCTGTAGAAAAGCTGTAGCCGTAAAATTTAGGGGGGGGGGAACCCTTACAATACCTTAAAATCTCCACCACTGGCACGTCCAATTAATTCGAGAAGGTTGCGAAAAAGTAGCTATTAATAGTGGTAATGTGTGTACAAAAGCTCAGTCCTGTAGTTCAAACGATTCCTAAGATATTGGCAAAAAACTTTCCGTTGCGACACTTATTTAGGAACACCCTGTATATAACTTTTCATCTCCAGGGTGAAATAATTTTAATTCCAAATTTTCATAAAAATCGAATCTATCCGAAAATATTCGGAGGTTTTACCCTATTTTTCTCTTCATTCCCTGGACTAATAAAATGAGTACGAGTTTAGAGCTAAAAATATAAATTTGGTCATTCAAGTAGTTTCAACTAAATTCTAACTGGGATGACGAACTACACCCCTTTAGTTAGAAAGAGACATCACACTGCAAATAGAATTTGTATTGCTTGTTTTTCATTTTTCTACATTTGCCTATTTTTACTCAAATGACTAATTTTTTTAAATATTCATAACACATTTCTTTAGATTGAATAATTTTTTAATTAAACTAAAGTTAAATTAAAATTGGCAACTTTAAAAACCATCGAGTAATAATAGTCCAATCAATTTGTCACGGCCTACTTGATAATAAATTTGCCAAAAATACCACCTGGAAACAAAAAATAAGGTGATATAGGAAAAAAAAATTCTAAGAAAGATAGTATATTTTTCCTTTGTAAAAAAGTCATAAAAGTAAAAAAAAAACGGGTTTTCGCTAATGTAGCTCACGGTAAGCAAAATAAAAGTGCCTTTTTTAAAATTGAAAAATATTAAAAATTTTTCGAGTTATATCGATTTTTCGAAAAAAAGTCATCTCGAAAATCGGCTTTTCTTGCTTGACGAATAGTCGTAGTGAAACGAATCAGGCCTCATATTTTTGCCTTAAGAGCTGTACTTTCATGGTAAAAAAGTGATAACGATTTTATTAATTTCAAGTGTCCAAAAATAACTGAAAAAATGTAAAAATTTTGTGATCGCGTTTTTCTTGAATATCTTTTATCGATTTTCATTTCTCGATAATGTCAATTACGGGAATCGATAACTGGCATTTTTACGCGAATTTAAAAAAAAAAACGTTGCTCTACGACCTTCTGGAGCTAATTTCTGTGACTAGTGGTACATTTTCCTTGCTGCGGCACAGTTTTTCCGACATTACTTGCAACATATCAACATGTTCATCATTAGTAAAATTATTTGCCATAATTCTTCCTAACTTTTATTTTTTTTTAATAAACTGTTAGTTTTAAAGCAAAAAAGTGAGAGATGTAAAAGCTTTAAAATAAACCAGACTATCTGATATGTATTTTTTGAATATTCAATTTTGGCCAAACAAAAAAGTTATAGTAAAGAATAATAGGTAATGCTTATTTGCTTATTTCAACCCCCTCTAACCCCCTATTATACATTTTTTTGAACATTTTTATGCAAAACGCGTGCTTTTTAGCTGTAGATTCACCGGTATAATTTGTGCATTTTTTGAAAACACCCTGTATATATGGTTGTGTAAAATACAAGGCTATGGTTTTCACATTGTGTTGCATTAACATTCGTTATTTGATCTTAGTCGTGAAATTAACCCTCTCTTAGGAGTGGATGTGGATTTAATTTGTAAATATTTCTTTCCAATGCTAAAAATATATTTTTTGAAATGTTTCCTCAAAGCATTTACAAATTATTGCTTTTCATTATAAAGATTTACCTTATCTCCACACCCTATTTCAGCGTTTTACTAAAAAAATGCACTGGTACATCAGTTTTTGGGCTGTAAAAAGATATACCAATATTAGGGTGGCCCAAAAAAAAACGATTTTTTTTTTTCGTGTCTCTTGTGAAAATATGTTAGTTTATCATGTTTTCAGAGCCCCCTCAAATAATCAGTTCAGAAAAAATTTTTTTAGAAGTCGCTCAAGATTTTTAAAAATTTCGAAAATCGTCAAAAATAGATTTTTTTTTAAATTTTTTTCTAATTATTTTATCATTTTCCAGGTTGAAAAAAATGTCGATTCTGAAAATTTCAAATCGATATTTTAATTTCTAAAGGTCACTCATAATTATTTTAACTTATATGTTTTCGAGCGACCTCCAAAAATAAATATGAACGAACTAATAATTTTTTTTTATTGAATTTGATGAAGAAAAGAATAGAAATAAATTACGATACACTACCGCACTGTGAGTATCAAATATTTATAATTTTTTAATTTTTTAAAATTTAAGTGTCGTGATTTATTTCTATTAATTTGTTCAACAAATTCAATAAAAAAAAATTATTAGTTCGTTCACATTTATTTTTAGGGGTCGCTCGAAACACTACTTTGAAAGTTAAAATAAATATGAGTGACCTTTAGAAATTAAAATATCGATTTGAAATTTTCAAAATCGAGATTTTTTTTCAACCTAGAAAATGATAAAATAACGAGAAAAATTTTTTTTCAAAAAAATCTATTTTTGACGAATTTGGAATAGGTATTTAAAAATTTTGTGCGACCTCTAAAATATTTTTGAACTGATTGAGTGAGAAACTATCGACTAGCGAATCGAGTAAGTCACGCCTCTAATCCAATTCTTGGTTTTGTTTTTCTACCGACAAAAGCATTGTTCGTTCTCAACATCCCGTAGCTACGCCACTGGCGACGTTGCACACTCATAATAACGTTAATTCCAGTTTAATTGGCGATAGCATAATTACGTACTTCCCGAACTACTAAAAAGGCTTAATAGGTATGACGAACGTGCCGCTTATATTAATGCAAAGGGGGGAACGAGTGGGGCAACATTTTTCTTTATCAACATGGAGAACTGGAAAATTCTCGTGTATAGATATTGCTTATTTACATTCATACTTGCGCCACACTACTATAACTTAAGTAAAATGAAAATACATTCGAAACTTACATTCGTTGACTTGGACTTCTGCCTGAGTAAATTTGTAACGTCCTCGGTGTTCAAATCGGCTAAATACACCTCGTTACCGCCTTCCAGGTTCATCTTCGGCAGCATAGGTGCAGAAATGTCGATTTTATCGATCTTCTTAAACCTCCCCTTGCCTTCCGACATTCCATGTCTCTTGTAATGGAAATCTTTTCCAAGCGCGTTTCTCGAACTACCGGCGACACTCGGTGGTGCTTGATTGAAAGTTTTAATCTTGACTACGTCAGTGGAAGGTGTTTGATTAATAGTTTTTAGCTGCACGTCAGTAGAAGGTGTTTGATTGAAAGTTTTTAGCTGCACGTCAGTAGAAGGTGTATGATTGAAAGTTTTTAGCTGCACGTCAGTAGGAGTTTGATTGAAAGTTTTTAACTGCGCGACATCCGTGGATGGTGTTTGACAGGGAGTTTTTGCTTGTACGTCAGCGGAAGGTGTTTGACTGAAAGTTTTTACTTGCTTGTCATCCGTCAAAGGTGTCTGACTGAAAGTTTTCAACTGTACGATATCCGTCGAAGGTGTTTGACTGAAAGTTGTCAACTGCATGTCAGATGAAGGTGTTTGACTGATGGGATTCATCTGCACGACATCCGTCGAAGGTGTTTGACT